GTAAATACAATTGAAGTTTAATTTTTATAATAATTAGGTTAGTATCAGAAAATATGATACGCCTATGGTTTTTTCTATAATGGTGACGTTCTTAGGTTATGGTTATGTTCTAAGGTTACGTTATTTGACATTGATTTATGTTTAATATTTACAATTAATTATTTTAAAATATACAATAAGTAAATAAATTAAACGTTAACCAAAATACTCACCTATGAAATGTAATTGAATATTTTTTATTTTTTGTGCTCAAGGAGCAACCACAAGCTGCACAACTAACCATAATTTGTCTTTACACCTTAAACACTAATATTTATATCTTAAACTTTAAATATTTACACTTAAACGAGAATATATCAAATAAAATACTGTCTAGAAACAATGAAACGCTTATTAAAAGTTAATTTAAGCAGAAAAACAACATAAAACACCGACAAACACATAAAACATTCAACTTTGACAAATATAGCATCACAAATTTTGACACATATGTGTCAAAATTTGGTGCTTGCAAATGGCCGACTTCCGACGCAATTTTAGTACGGCTAAAGAATGACAAGACTCCTTCCTGTTGTTTTTTCTTCTAAGGTACAAACCCAAAGCACAAGAATTGTAAACAACAAAAATGGCCGCCATTGAATGATGTGCAGTGTTGCAGTGATTTTTAGTATTTTTAGTACGAGATCGAACAGACCTTGTGTGGATTGTGGTATGATCTAAAATTTTTAATTTAAAAATAAAATAAATTACTTTTCACTTTGACATTTAAAACATTTTAGGTTATGTACAGGGTGATCCCCTATACTCACCCCTTTAACTTTTTTATTTTAAGTGTCCTAAAAAATTTAAAAGTATGGGTATGTATGAAACGGTCGAATTTAGGTACCTATATGGTATGTTATATGAACTTATACTTATAGAATTATAGAATTTTACACGGATTCTAAGAATAATTTTTTTGTACGTGGAATAGTATGTTCTGTAACAAGTTTGGAATACGGCATATTCCGCTCGAGTGAAAAGTTTGTCACGCGAGTTTGACGGTTTTACGAGAGGGGAATATGCAATTCCAAACGTGTTTCAGAGTCTGAAATTCAGACTATACTTTTTCTACGTTTTCAAAAAATACCATAGACAAATAATTTAATTGGAAGAAAGTGAGGTTGGATCGGTCTAAAATTTGTTAGATATTAAAAACAGAGATGTCGCCACGAGTGTATATTCTGTCATCAGATGATAGAATATTTCATTCTGTAACACTTTACGAAATAAATTTCATTTCATAGATAAAAGTCATATTAGAAAGGTTATATTCCATAATAGGAGTATAAAAAAATTGTTATTTATGTATCAAGGCAGTAAAGTCGTATTTTTATCACGAATGTGGAAATTATTTGCAGAGGCGAAAGCCGAGGCAAATAACCACGTGAGTGATAAAAAAATGACTTTAATGACGAGGTGCATATTAAATTTTATCCGAAATCACATTTAATAATACTAATAATTAATATTGATGTTCAAATCAAATGTCATTTGAATGTAGGAAGTGTATACTGTTTAAACAGTATACACTTCCTACATTCCTACATAACAATTGTTACGACGTTTATGATTTTTTAATCTAATTAATAAAATTAACTTATTATTTTTATTAAACAACATTTTATGAACGGGTCCAATGGACCTCCGCGACGGTGCTTTTTTTAAAATAATATTTAGTTGCTGCTGAGTAGCAGTAGACACATCTTAAAATGTATTATGGGTTGCATACAATACTCTCTATTAAATCGGCAGTAAAGTTTTACTTTACAGCCGATTTCTTTTACTTTACTGCCGATTTCGGATAAAAGTACATTCAGCCATTATATAATCGAATCAAAAGTTTTACACTGTTCAAAATTAACCAAATTAACACCATACATGGTCTATATCGATACAAACCAAAATGGTGTTAAATATGGTTCGTTAGTCCAGTGTAAATTCAAATACTAAAATAGTGTAAATTTAACTTTCACACAGAATTAAAATATATTTTACCTGGTGTAAATTGAACTCCTTTTTAGTGTTAAATATTATGTGTTTTTGGTCAAATTAATTCATACTACACAGAAAAAAAGGAAAAAGTGTAAACAGAAAGTTCCTTGACGCAGTATATTACCAGTGGTATTATTCCAGAAAATTGAACCTTCAACTCGCTAGAGATAATTTTTTTAGTGCGTTCCACCAACTTAAAATACTTCAAGTATTGACAGCTGTTTCCACCCATTTAAGGTATCTTTAGTATCGAAAAACTTGTAGTGTCACACCAAAGAAAAGGACTACCTTTATATACTCTTCATGTAAGTCAACAGAGGCGAGATTTAAGAACATCACGTGATCCACACCGCCTTTGCCGCGATCGGTACACACTATGCAACCAGGAATGCACGGCAAATTGTTTTAATCGTTTTAACAGAATGATTTAGGTTGAAGTAACTCTTATTTTAACATATTTAGTAAACTGAACCATACAGCGGGTTGGTTTCATTAAAGTTTTCTGAGTTAATTTAACCAATTAAAAAAAATAATAACTATCTGGTTTAGTACCGTCAACTAATCTTTGTTTATATTAACCTTCCCACAGTTGATTTAAATAAATACTTATGGGTCCTATAGAATAATTTTGTATGGTTTGCGTTTTTATTTTGAATTTTCGAAAAACTGCCATATATTCGTATAATAATAACAGTTAATCCCTCGGGACATTTTCGAGATTTTGTAGATATCTTGGATAACTACGAATATATAGTAAATTTAAAAGTAAACTACGTACACGTCATCAATAAAACAAAAATTTTACGCATTGGTACCAACACTAAATGACTAAATCGAAGTCTGTAATTGAATATTTGAATGAATTTTAACCAAATTAAGTTGGCAACAATTGTGATGTTGTCATGTTTACATTCAAATTTTTCATATTTAAATGACACATAAAAAAGAATTTGACGTTTTAGAATTTCGAAGCTGTCAGTTGTGTTTTTGAATATTTCGTTTAATTCGTGTATTATTTCGTTTATTTTGTTTGTTGTTTGTGTTATTTTATATCGTTTAAGTTTTCATTGCCGTTTTTGTGTTTGTTATATATCGTTTTTTTGTGTTTCCTATATTTAAAATGCCGAAGCATTTAAATAGTCGGTGTCAAGAGTTGGTGTCATCCTTAATACGCTATTTTGAGGCAGAACGGGATAATAATGGACCTTTGTTACCTTTAACAGCTGTTAGAGAGGTAAATAGGATTATTATTAATTATATATTAGAATATTTAACAAAATATATGTTGGATACATGAAATAATAATATATATACCAGAGACTGACTTTAGATAGCAAAATTTTTGGGTTTATATCAGAAAATGTCTTTAAAAATGACTAAAAACATACTTTTGGCGGTGCATCATATAGGTCATAGATAGGTTATAAAAACTTAGACTTTTGACATTTTGGTATTATTCATGTAAACGCCATCTATCGCCCTGTAGTTGCACTACCACTTTCCCTTGATGCAAGGATTTTAGCATCACATTGACAACCGTGCCCGATCAGCTGATTGATGACGTGTACGTAGTTTACTTTTAAATTTACTATATGGCAGTTTTTCGAAAATTCAAAATAAAAACGCAAACCATACAAAATTATTCTCGTAAACTTATGCAGGCTAGGCTATATTCATATAATTTTCTAAAAAAAACCAAAAGTTTAAAAAATATGGCGCATATCTGGTTTGTTTTTGTTTTTTGTCGTCGAATATAAAAACATTTTTCAAACAGCAAAACACATTTAAAAAAATAAAAGGACGGATGTAAGATTGCATACCACGCAAGACGAAGAGCTGCCTGCCCTCTTTTTCTGCTAGAAGAAGATGGGCACAAGAACATGCAAATTGGGGAAACGATGTGTTGATAACTAATCGATACCTTTCGTAGTTTGCTCATTTTTGGGAATTAAGTGGTGAATAACGACAATTTTCGAAAAATTGCTATATAATCGTAGTTAGCCAAGATATCCACAAAATCTCGAAAACGTCCCGAGAGATTACCTAACTGTTATTAGGGAGGGGTATTAGGACTATTAAGCTCAACTGCCCTGTGAATGGGGATTTGAAATTTTGGAAAAAAACGTCTTTTTTTTAACACCCTGTAGTATCATGCTATGTGCACAATATCGTATTTCCAAAATTAGACATAAGAGTCAAAGAATCAACTATTGCTCATTTTTTGGACTAAAATGAAGAATAACGTGAATTTTCGAAAAATTGCCATATAATCGTAGTTAGCCAATATATCCACAAAATCTCGAAAACGACTCGAGAGATAACCTAACTGTTATTAGGAAGGGGTATTACGACTATCAAGCTCAACTGCCCTGTGAATTGGGATTTGAAATTTTGGAAAAAAATATCCCATTTTTTAACACCCTGTAGTATAATGCTATGTGCACAATATCGTATTCTCAAAATTAGACGTAAGTCAAAGAATCCACTATTGCTCATTTTTTGGACTAAAATAACGACAATTTTTGATAAATTGGCACATAATCGTAGTAAACCGCGATATTCACAAAATCTTAATTATATTAGGGAGGGGTATTACGACTATCAAACTCAACTGCCTCAAGAATGGGAATAACTTGAAATTTCGGAAAAAATACATCTCTTCGTTTAACACCCAGTAGTATAATGCTATGTGCAAAATATCGTATTCCCAAAATTAGACATAAGAGTCAAAGAATCAGGTATTCAGAATTTCCAAAGATTTTCAAAATTGATTCAGTAATTTTGCAATAACGAGCTTTCAAATATTTTCCGAAAAACTAGGTGCGTCGATTTTTATGACGAGCAGTTTAGCATGTTTTATAAACGCCATATTAGTTTTATTAGGCAAGAGCGAGTGTTTAATAAAAACGAGTGGTCAGCGCAACAAGTAACGTCCACGGTATATGGGGAACGTAAAAAATACTAACCTGTGGTTTATGTAGGCCAGCTCCTGCAACAGCGGTATGTTCTTACGGTCGACGGACAGCTTGACGGGCTTTCTGCGCGTCTTATTCAAGCGCCCGTCGCGCATGTACTGCCGCAGACGCGAGTGCGCCGTCGCCAGCGAGCAGCGGCGCTCCCACACCGTGGAGAAAATCACCCTGACTGGTACGCGGTCGAAGCTGTTGCGCAGGAACTTCTCGACGTAGCTGCGGTCCTCGCCGCTGTACGGGGGGGATTTCCGCTCGGCACCCTCGAAGTACTTCATCGGTTCCGGGAAGCGCTTCACGAAGTTCCCCACGTCGAATTCCGTCGTGTATTCCCTGATTGCACAGTTTATTCTAAGAATGTTTTTTAAACCTTCCAGTGCACAGTGTGTTAAATTAATTATCTAGCTAGACAAAACCTAATTGAAAAACAACCTGAAATAAAGACAAATTTTATTAAATAAGCTTCTTCAGTTCTTCCTGTTATGATTTCCATTACTTAGAGCGTACTGCAACAGTGTATTTAGCACTATGCAGGCGCCAGTTCCGGACGTATCATTTTTTATAAACATACTTAGCCGTGTATGCGTTGCAAAAAGGTGGTTTGATTTTGACATTGTGTCAAGTTAAATCAAATTTTGAACTGTGCAGCTATGGATCTAGGTATATATTACTTATTTTTTATTATTAGGGATTTATAATATCAATTCACTTGGTGTTATTAAATATGGACAATATTTATTAAGCAAGAAAATCGAGCAATATCGGGTGCACTATCAATATTTGTTTTGTTTTATAACGTCTACAGATTACTGATGTGCCTTTATTTATTGCCCCAATTTGCCTGTTCTACAGGGTGTAACCAAAAACCGACGCACTCCTTCTCCACTAGTAAATTTTGGAATAGAGTTGAAATTTGGGAGTAATAATAAAGAGTTAATTTATAATTATTTCAACCTTCAATGGATACCACCCGGTATCCGGTTTCCCCGGAAATAATGCCAACTTTCGTTTTCTCAATAAAATACTTTGCATATTTTTGTATATTTCAAATCAGGAGAAAATTTTGAATTTAATACTTACACTATCGCGGGATTTTTAAAATGATCTTAATTTTTGTTATAATTTAAGTTTTCCATAAGTGTAATTTTAGTGGAAACCACTAAACAACTTTTTATGACATTGGTGGGTTTTGATTGGGAAAAACATATGGATTTTTAAAAACATTTGTATATACAAATGCATATGGTATTTAAAAAAGTTGAGTTAATTAAAAAAAACAATTGATCTGCAAAACATTACTATTTATGCATTTAATTGCAAATTTGGATGGTAAAAATAATTGATTCTTTAAATTGCAGCTTTCTGGATTAAAAAATAAAACTTTAAGGTCAATTGCAAAATGGTAGCGAATGTGCATCTATCAGATTCAAAATTTTCTCCAGATTTCAAATATACAAAAATATACAGGGTGTTTCTTTGGAAAAACGAAAGTTGACCAATTTTCGACGAAACCGAAAGTTTATTTTTTATTGCAAGGCGCCGGCCATTTCGTAATGAACGAATTTAATTTCTGCATTTTGGATGTCAGATTTTGATTCAGTGAACCCAAATTCCCCGTTTACAGAGAAAATTTATAAATTTTTATGTCATTAAGGTTTTGTCTAGCTAGATCATTAATTTCACACACTGTGCAGTGGGAATATTCTTAGGATCATGCTATATTTCTTCTAGTCATGTTCTAAGAAAGTTTTTTAAACCTTCCAGTGAGAATATTCTTAGGATCATGCTATATTTCTTCTAAAGAACATGCTTAAAATAAATATAGCATAATCCTAAGAATATTCTCACTGGCCTATTGGCAGTTTCTTAGAAGGTGCAAAGTTTAGTGGTAAAAATTAATCTACTCTAAACATATGCTCAGAATGTGGGGAAAGCAATTGCTATAGAAAGTTCATTTAGGAATATTCCTGGAACATTCTGTTAAGCATATTCAGTTCAGTTAGGTACCTATATAATAGTAAAATATACCATAATCTACGTATAAAGGTACCTATACTAAGTAAAAAACACAACCCAAAATATTTGTTTATAGTTATTTGTCAAATTAAAACAATATTCGATAACAAAAATACTTTTACTATAGCACAGTGGTCCTCGGCTAGCCATGGGTTTTATGAAAATGGCGCCAAAAAATAGGTTCAGATATTAGTAGGCATGTATATCAAGGTTACAAAAACGCTGCAAGTCAAATCATAGCTGATCATAAAAATTTGTTTTTGTGATACTTTATTTATGTTTACATTTGACCATTGTTTTAAATTAATTTCAATAATTGGCACATAATTGGAGGTCACAAAAGTTTACATATAGGTTCATTGATAAGTTGGCACTGAAATATTTGATTAACTTGTCAGTTGTCAGCCTAGGTTTGGTCTAGGGTTGTCAGTTACTGTTTGCCTTAAAACACAAATCTAATAATTTTTGTCGGTTTTACTGTTACTTTTATGATAAAATGAACCCTATTGAAATTGTAAGCAACCATGAGCATAACAGCATGTGGGCAGAAAATTATTATGGGTAATACAAAATCGTCGAAATTTTTAATTACAGAATCCTAAGTTCCCAATTTCAATTTCCATCTGCAATACTTGTCGCCATGGTATACCAAAATTTAAAAGCCAATTATTATGTAAAATTGTCCCCTGAATCAGAAAATACCGTCAAAAATTATAAAAGTTTAGCAGTTTTTGAGATATAGTCAATTCCATATTAAATGGAAAATTGACTATATCTCAAAAACTGTTCTACTTTTTTAATTTTTGAAGACATTTTTGGATTTAGGAGACAATTTTACATAAGAATTGGTTGTTAAATTTTGGGATTCCATGGTTGACCATGGTTCAAGTGAAAAAGCCACTAATAACTAAATTAGTCATTTTTGACTAATTCATTTTTAGAGAGCTGGGCTTTCAAAGTCTCTTAAATTGCACCTCATTTTGGAACATATTATTCAATCTTTGCAGTTTTTTCAAGAAGGTGGACTTGGTTTATGGTCAGAGCAAGCAGTAGAATCTATTCATAGAGAGTTTGTCAAGTACTGGAACCGATATAAAATAAATCTCTTACAAGATACTTGCTATTAAATCCAGTTAAAAAAAGCTGTTGTTGAGTTCTCCTCTAGACATTTGTAACAAATATTGAGTATATGTGAATTTGTTTTGGTCAATAACCTTTTTTCACTGTAAAAATAAAAAGTAATTTTTTAAAATTGTAGTAATCTAAAGGCTATGTAAAAATGCGAAATTGTTACATCCATAAAATAAGTTAATGGTCAGCTACGATTTTACTTGATGAATTTTTGCAATGCTTATAGATATACCTATCAAAATCCGAACTCATTTTTTGGCGCCATTTTCATACAACCCATAGCTAGTCGAGGACCACTTTGATAGGTATCTAAATTATCCGGCTTTTATATAAAATCTTCTATCCAACTTAAATACAATGAAAAATGTTTTTTTATGAAGAACTATTTGGTTTTTTCTTTTATGAAGAATTATTTTATAAGGAAATATTTTGTTTTTTTATATTTTATTTTTTGTTAAAAATAAATATTTATTAATTTGTATACCGATTTTTTATATCTGAATTAACATTTTTATGTATAATAATCCTAACTATCTTCAACTTCAATCTAATCTGACTTATCCCACAAAATTTACCAATTTTACTTTTTATGAAATAAGGTCATACAACGTATGGTTTAGAGGTCAAATTGTTTATTTATAATTTTTAAATAAATATATATTGAACGACAAATACATTTCACTGTCATATTATGACAGTGAGGCGTATTTGTCGCCTCCTGAAGAATTTTACGTGTAGAATCCAACATATTAGAACGTGGGTATCTGACATATTTGGAAATATTTTCAAAAGCTTCCTCGAAGCTTTATAAGAAACCTTCTAAGAACATTCCAAAAACGTATTCTTAAAATGTTCTTAGAATGCTTTTTAGGAAGGTTTTAAGAAGCTTCTAAGAATCCACTTGCATCATTAAAAGGGTATCTATTGAATGTTTTAAAAGTCCCTAAGAACATTCTTAGCAATAAGGGAAGGTTCTAAGAATATTCCATTATTCCGGGTCGCGTATTGGCATTGTGTACTACGATACAGAGCCATAGTGTTCTTAATCGCAGTAAGGATTGACAAAATTAAACGCCACTAAGTACAATACAATCCATACTACGATTTAGCACATCTCCCAGTTTGTGATGTTCTGAATCATAGTAGAGAATGTTGAAGTGTTTGCGCGAATGCAGCAGGCCATACTTTACTGCGATTCAGAAAATATTGGCTATGTGCCGCACGCATAAAGTAATAAGCCAGAGTTATAGGTTATGTTAGAAATTAATAAATAGTAGTGATACAGACCCAAGCAAAAATCTCACTGACAATATTTATTTTTTATTATCGATTTTTCAAGTTAATTAACTTAAAGATCGTTTTACCCTAAAATTTTATTTGGCTTTATCATCGACCATCCTTAATAGATTTTTATAAATATTTTAGTAGTTAATGCCCTCATGTTTCTATTTTTCTTTCTTAAATATAAGAAAAAAAAGCAAAGGATTTTATATATTTAAAAAATAAAAAATATAACTTTAAATTATTATATCAAGTATAATCTATGTATTTTTATTTTGTGTCTATTAAAGAAAACAACACAATACAAAATATAATATAATATAATACAATACATATATGTTATAACAATAAAATAAAATTTCTTATATATGTATATTTTATGTTTATGTTTTTGCAAAATTAATAGTTTCATGTAAAAGTAGAAAAAAAAGCCTATTCACTATTTCAAATATTATTTAAATCCGTTGTGGTACGTTTATATCTGATACTTGCAAAATTTTTGGGTAAAACAATCTTTTTGTTAATAAGTTTGAAATGATTTTTTTCCTTTGGGTTAATGTATATTTACGATTATTATTATATTATTATTATATTATTAAAACTGCAGAGAGTACCTAGTTTGTTTTTAATAATATTTATTAATAAATAAATTCCAATTAAAAATAATAATTTGTTTTTTATTGATAAGGCGTGCAGCTAGCGTATTTGTAGGTAAGCTATCCAACTACAATTCAAATTAGAATACTATTTTCTGAATCGGTATGGCCTGCTGCGGTCGCGCATACCATACTCTACTATGATTCGGAACATCACAAACTGGGAGATGTGCTGAATCGTAGTATGGATTGTATTGTACTTAGTGGCGTTTAATTTTGTCAATCCTTACTGCGATTCAGAACACTATGGCTCTGTATCGTAGTACACAATGCCAATACGCTTCCGGGTCATATCTTCTTAGAAGATTCTTAGAATCAAATTTTGCTATCAGGGATTGCCTTTGCTGCGCCGAGAGCTGCTGCTGCCTGATGCGCTCCTTCAAAGTGGGATAGTTCTTGGTCTCCAAAGCGTCGGCCGTGAACAGTTTCAGTCCGTCGGGGTTGCCGCGGTACCTTTCGCACTGAGTCTGCAGGAAGGCGGGATCGGCGTCGGGCAGAACCTCCTTCAAAATTTCCAGCTGCCGCTCGACGTCGAGCTCCTCCGGACCAGCCGGTTTTTCTTCTCTCTTCGGATAATCGTCGCCTAAAAAATTAATAAATTAATGAATGATAGAACAAGCGAAAGGTTCCCTTGTGGAAATTTTTATCCGAAAAACTATTAAAAAATAACAAGTAGAAATAAGAGTTCTGAAAGTCTTGCAGAAAAACTCACAACAAGAATTATTAAGTTGGAAAAACTCAGACTTCGTAAGTCAGACTAATAGCAAGATTAGTTATTCTTACTTACTTACTTAATAAGACTTTCATCAGAGAAGTGGTAAAGGTACTGCAGTTTTAGTGATTTTTTACACTTTTCAAAGCTTTCAAACATACGAATTTTTTAATTAAAAAAAATAATAATGGTATAGATTCTTTGGGAAATTTTATGCTCTACAAAAATCCGCGACGTAAAAAATTTTATCTCAAACGGTTCAAAAGTTATAGTCTTTTTAATGAAAAAAGATTTTTTTACGTGTTATTTCAATGGAAAACTTAGAATGCTCACAGACACCTTATAAAATTGAGCAAAAAATTTTGCCTTGCAGGGAAATTTTTTGCTCGGTATGTAGGTTCATTTTAACCCATAAATCCGATAGGTTAGTTTTTTTGGCTCACCCTAACCTATAGGTATACGTTTACCACTTCTAGTCTAGTCTAGACTTGTTTTTGATTTGCTTCAAATTTTCAGGTATCGATAGACGAACTAAAGTAATGGAGAAATCTAAAATTTCAACCTCTTTTATGCATTTTTGTAGGTTCGATTATTTAAAAACCCAAAAGACAAAAAAATTCGAAAAAATCTTATAAACATATTTTTGAAGCTCTTTAAGGTGAAATAATTTTTTTTTTCAAATTTAAATTCCCAAAAAAACGCCACCTCAAATTTAAAAAAAAATCATGATGATAGCCCTAAATTTCCGCAAATTTGGTTCAAAAATTCTCAAATTTAAATTCCCAAAAAACGCCACCTCAAAATCAAAAAAAAATCATGATGATAGCCCTAAATTTTCCGCAAGTTTTGACTACCTACTTATTTTTGGGGGGGCTCAAAAACTGTAGAAGTTATGAATTTTTTTGTAAAGAAATGAAATAAAATTTTTTTTTAATTTAAATTCCCAAAAAACGCCACCTCAAATTTAAAAAAAAATCATGATGATAGCCCTAAATTTTCCGCAAATTTGGTTCAAAAATTCTCAAATTTAAATTCCCAAAAAGCGCCACCTCAAATTCAAAAAAAAATCATGATGATAGCCCTAAATTTTCCGCAAATTTTGACTACCTACTTATTTTGGGGGGGGGCTCAAAAACTGTAGAAGTTATGAATTTTTTTGTAAAGAAATGAAATAAATTTTTTTTTTCAAATTTAAATTCCCAAAAAAACGCCACCTCAAATTTTAAAAAAAATAATAAAATATTTTATTAAAACTCCAAATTATTATTTTTTCTAATTTGGATAGCGTTTTTTCTGGGGTAAACAAAATTATTTGCAAAATAACTCATTTTTAATGCTGCTCAAAAAATTAATTATTTACTGGGCGACTGTAAACGCAACATATCAGCTGACCAATTAGATCACAGCTGGCCGTCATGGGAATACATTATACCTATGCGTTGCAAAAAATTATAATTGTTATAGTTATTACACTTTGTATATTCAACAAGTTATCTGTATGTACGCAAACCAGACGTATGTCTCAACTGTTTTATTCTGATGATTTGAAATAAACTTGTCTTATACAGGTGTCACCTAGTAAATTGTCATACTTTGGGGGGGTGATAGTACACCCCAAAACCAGAAAGTTTTTCCTCTATCATGTTTGCATTAGTGCTACCAGGTCAGTGACATTCAGTGGCTCCCTGGTTTTGTCAAAAAAAAATGTAATTTTTTATTAAAAATAATGATACTAATGCAAAAATGCTAGAGGAAAAACGTTCTTATTTTGGTGACATCTTATAAGCATTTTAACTGAAACAATGTTTATAAATAATTTCTTTCGTGTTTTCTTTAACACTAACCAAATACAATAACTCTGATGAATTCCGAATATTTAGTTTTATTAAATAAGTCAGAATAAATCTTGCTAATAGTCTAATCCCTGATAGCCCAGTTTATTCTAAGAATGTTTTTTAAACCTTCCAGTGGGAATATTCTTAGGATCATGCTATATTTCTTCTAGTCATGTTCTAAGAATGTTTTTTAAACCTTCCAGTGAGAATATTCTTAGGATCATGCTATATTTCTTCTAGTCATGTTCTAAGAATGTTTTTTAAACCTTCCAGTGAGAATATTCTTAGGATCATGCTATATTTCTTCTAAAGAACATGCTTAAAAGAAATATAGCATAATCCTAAGAATATTCTCACTGGCCTATAGGCAGGTTCTTAGAAGGTGCAAAGTTTAGTGGTAAAAATTAATCCACTCTAAACATATGCTTAGAATGTTGACAAAGTAATTGCTATAGAAAGTTCATTTAGGAATATTCCTGGAACATTCAGTTCAGTTAGGTACCTATATAATAGTAAAATATACCATAATCTACGTATAAAGGTATTAAATACTAAGTAAAAAATCCAACTCAAAATATTTTTAAGGTATTTGTCGAATTAAAACAATATTTGATAACAATAATATTTTTACTAAAGGTATCTAAATTATCCGGCTTTTACATAAAATCTTCTATCCAACTTAAATACAATGAAAAATGTTTTTTTTATGAAGAATTATTTGGTTTTTTCTTTTATGAAGAATTATTTTATAACTAAATATTTTGTTTTTTTATATTTTATTTTATGTTAAAAATAAATATTTATTAATTTGTATACCGATTTTTTATTTCTGAATTAACATTTTTAGGTATAATAATCCTAACTATCTTCAACTTCAATCTAATCTGACTTATCCCACAAAATTTTCCAATTTTACTTTTTATGAAATAATGTCAATGACATTATGTCATACAACTTATAGTTTAGAGGTCAAATTGTTTATTTAATATTTTTAAATAAATATATATTAATATATCACAAAATTTTTTAAGGGGACGACAAATACATTTCACTGTCATATTATGACAGTGCGGCGTATTTGTCGTCTCCTGAAGAATTTTACGAATGTAGAATGCAACATATTAGAACGTGGGTATCTGCCATATTTGGAAATATTCTCAAAAGCTTCCTAGAAGCTCCATAAGAAACCTTCCAAAAACGTATTCTTAAAATGTTCTTAGAATGCTTTTTAGGAATGTTTTAAGAAGCTTCTAAGAATCTAATTGCATCATTAAAAGGGTATCTATTGAATGTTTTAAAAGTCCCTAAGAACATTCTTAGCAATATATGGGAAGGTTCTAAGAATATTCCATTATTCCGAGTCATATCTTCTTAGAAGATTAATTAAGAATTCTTAGAATCAAATTTTGCTATCAGGGAACTTACAGTCTTATTCGGGGTTTTTAGGAGAAAATAAGACTCTCAAACCTCTTATGTTTACTTATTAAACCTTTTCCTCAGTTTTTCGTTGAAAAATGTCCACAAGGGTTTACGAAACTAGCCCGCTATAAGTATTTCTGTAACAATGTCGTCCAGGTCCTTTAAGGCTTTGCCCTTGCAAAGGTTCCTGATGTATTTGGGGCAGGCCTCAGGAAACATCTCCACGAGAAGATTCGCGACGGGTGTGGAGTATTTTCCCAAGTCCACAACCCGAGCTTGGGGTGCGTTGGAACTTGACGGTAACCTAAAATATTTTGAAATCAATAATTGCAACTACAGCCTTTTAATTAACTTACTCCCCCACAAATTCTGGAGCATCCGGATCGAGTCGATCAACATCTGAATATGTTAAAAAAATTAAATCAATCATTTATGAAAAGGAGAAAGTGAGGCTAAATCGATCAACCTTACTTTCTACACTCACGTGCAAAATAATCGATCCACACAAATTTTCGATGAATTTCAATCCTAAATAACTTTTTTATTTGATGTCGGATATATTTTCCACAAAAATAAATATATCGAGGTGAACCAAAAACAAAACTGTTAAGAATAGATGTGACTTGATAAATAAAACTTAATTTAGAACAATATACGGTTTTGCCACTCTACAGAGTGTCTTAAACTTATGGTAAAAAACATCTTTTTGTTTAAACCTGTATATTATAAACGTACGTCTATTTTTTAGTATTTTTTTAAAATGTGAGCCATTAATTTATCTACAATATTCTTTAATATTCGTTTAAATCCGACATCAAATAAAAAAGTTATTTGCGATTGAAATTCATCGAAAATTTGTGTGGATCGATTATTTTGCACGTGAGTGTACTTATAGATCATCTGACAGAAGTTTTTTTATTTGTCCAAAAAAGTAATTATTTAAATAATGGATTGTTAGGGCCTAGGCCAGTATATATGAAGTTGGCCACAAATGATCACTTGAAGAGTGATCTTGTGCGTAAGAAATTAGTAAGAAATAAATATAAGAGATATAGAAATAAATAAAACATGTTTGGAAAAAGTTTTGGGAATCTTAAAAACCCCTATAAAAATAAAGGAAAATCAATAAAGTCTTTAATTATTTCTTTACTTACCAATGATCTCCTCAATATCGATAATTTCCATGGGCTCGTTCGGCATCTCCATTTTAAAGGAGATTTTTCTTAAAATTTTTGTTAAAATTTGTTAAAAAGTATATAATGAACACTAGGGTGCTCCCAACTCAAAATCTTGTTGAAAATGTTCAAAAAAAAATTCCCTGAAAATTTGAGCCCTTAATATTAACTCAAAGTACTCGACCAAAGCGTATAAAGATTTCCCATTTAAAATACACGTAAACTTTGATTATTTTTTTTTAAATACACGGAGAAAAAAGTTTATTGCTCCCAAATAAAAAAAATATTTAAATATGGGACAAGGGTACAGTTTATTTATCCTAAATATATTTTTATTCCCGACATATAAAGTTTTACTAAAGTATATTTATCGTTATTATTTCGACTATTTAGAGGTAATAAACAATATATTCACTACAAATAATAGTATATTACACTACAAGGGCAGAAAGTGTGAGATTCCTGCACTGCGCGCCATGATGCCCGAGGCGAAGCCGAGGGCATCATGGCACGCAGTTCAGGGCTCTCACACTTTCTGCCCGTGTAGTGTATACTATTTTTCTTGCTACCCCGCAGAAAATACGGGAAAAAATTAAATGTATATAAAAAAACTTGTGTCAAAATTAAAATCTGACGTTTAATTTAATTCTGACGTTTACATTCAAAATCAATCAAACTGTAGCGTTGTCATGGTAATTCAGCGGTGCCAATACAGTAAAAATAAAAGGTTGTATTTTAATTAACAAATTACTACTTTATAACAAATAAAAGTACCATTAAACACTTAAAACAAGATAAAAAGTAAAAAAGTAAAAACATAAATTGTTTATTTGTTGTTATAATTGCAAAATTATGGTTTAAAACTGTCATATTTTTGTGTTTCTCATGTTGGCAGTACGAAATTTGAATGTTAAGCACACGACTAAAAAATTTTTACTCCGCTATTAGAGTGTGCGCGTATAGCTTGACCAATGCAAGAAACGTAAACTTTCTGCCGTGAAATCGGGGACGAAACAACGTATTTTGAGTCGAGGTAGTAAGAAAAAGTATTAGGTAAACAGTTTATTTGTCCCATTTTTTTCTCAGTGTATCTATATCTCAGCCGCATTTTATGCTTAAATGCTTTATGTGCCATAGCTGTAATCTGCACCTGTAGGATGGTACAGGTACAACATTTTCAACAAGATTTTGAGTTGGGAGCGAAAAAAATAAAAATACTCGTGAAAAAAAGCACCCACAAAAATAGCACACAAAAATACAAAATGGAAACAATTAAAAATTAAAAAAGCTAGGTACCTATATTTAAAAAAAATTATACCAAAATTTAAAAAAAAATAAAAATTTAAAAACTGATGATTATTAAAAATATTAAAATAAAAATAAAGTTTACTAAATAAAAAATATAATGGGAAATAAGGAAAAAAACTAAACCCTAGCGAATTCACCGAACGATCAATTTACGTAAATTTTGCGTTGATTTAGCGTTGATTTCATAAATTTTAACGCAAGTTGCCATTTTTGAAGTTAAAATATTGGATTTTAACGTACAGTTGGCGCAAAAAAATTGCGTTAAGTTGAACCAAAACGTAACTCAAATTTGACTATAGTCATTTTATAAAATTTAACGTAAGTTTTGCGATAACAACAAAAAAATTAACTATAAATAGACTTAAAATTGATTGATTAGGTAACCGATTTTACTCTAAAATTTTTTGTATAAAATATTTGCGTTGAATTTGCGTTGATTTTGCGTTTATTTTGAGTCAATTTTGACTTTTTGGTTAGGTTACCGATTTTACTCAAACATTTTTTGTATACAATATTTAAGTTGAATTTGCGTTGATTTTGCGTTCATTTCGAGTCAATTTTGACAATTTAGTTAAGTTACCGATTTTACTTTAACATTTTTTGTAATATTTGCGTTGATTTTGCGTTCATTTTGAGTCAATTTTGACTTTTTAATTAACTTATCGATTTTACGCGAACATTTTTTGAATAAAATATTTGCGTTAAATTTGCGTTGATTTTGAGTTTAATTTGAATCAATTTTGACTTTTTATTATAATTTTAATTTTTATATTTCTTTTTATAAAAAAATTCTTAAATTTGCGTTTACATTGCATTAAATTTGACTTTCTTTAGACTAAATTTTGTTACTAAAAAATCACTGTTTTGATATTTTAAGTTATCTTTCGTTGGACATTAATGACTTAAATCAAAAGCATATAAAATAATTTCTTCAAAGTAGTAATTGAAGACATAAGTGAATAAAGGTGTTATGTCACATTTTAAGTAAAAAAGGACAAACAATGTTCATACTAGTAATACTTTTCTCTATTATTTTTAAACTTACAAGGAGCTACCAAAATAAGTTTTTTTTAATTATTATTATAATTTAAAAACTTAAAAGTATCACCCAAAATGTTTTTTATGCAAAAATAAAATTAAAAATCTTCTTTATTTTACTACCTCAATTATCACATAACACCTTTATCCACTTACATACAGCCCGTTCAGAGTAAAACCGAATATAGGGAAACGTTTTGGGCGTGGCCTCGCCTCCCTCCAACGCGCGTCACAGCAGGTAAGACGACCTTACAAATTAAATGATAATAATGCAAAAAATCTCATTAACGATGCAGGCTATTTGCTTAGCTACTGTGTCCTCAATTAATTTATTTTTATAAAAATTTATTGTCCAATATCTGCGTTCAGTTTGCGTTGAGTTTACGTTATTTTGACTTAATTTTGATTTTTTATTTAAAGTCACTAAAACATCACTGTATTAGATTGTTTAAGTTTTTAAGTTAGACATAAATGATTTAAATCAAAAGCATATAAAAATAAATTATAAAAAGTAATTATCAATACATTTTTATACAAATTTTATTTCAATATTTGCGTTAAGTTTGCGTTGATTTTGCGATAATTTTGAGTCAATTTTGATTTTTTATTAAATGTCGGTAAAACAATAATGAATTATATTTTTTAAGTTATTTTTGGTTTTAAATTAATTGCTTGAATCAAAAACATATAAAAATAAATTATTAAACGTGATTATATATTAATTTTTATAAAAATTCAGTCTTCAACATTTGCGTTGGATTAGCGTTGAATTAGCGTTCGTTTTGAGTCGATTTTGATTTTTTATTAAATGTCGGTAAAACAATAATGAATTAGATTTTTTAAGTTATCTTTGGTTTTAAATTAATTGCTTGAAACACATATTAAAATAAATTATTAAACGTGATAATATATTAATTTTTATAAAAATTCAGTCTTCAACATTTGCGTTGGATTAGCGTTGAATTTGCGTTCGTTTTGAGTCGATTTTGATTTTTTATTAAAAGTCGGTAAAACAATAATATATTAAATGTTTTAAAGTTATTTTTGGTTTTAAATTAATTGCTTGAATCAAAAACATATAAAAATAAATTATTAAACGTGATAATATATTTATTTTTATAAAAATTCAGTCTTCAACATTTGCGTTGGATTTGCGTTGAATTTGCGTTCGTTTTGAGTAGATTTTGGTTTTTTATTAAAAGTCGGTAAAATAATAATATATTGGATTTTTTAAAGTTATTTTTGGTTTTAAATTAATTGCTTGAATCAAACACATATAAAAATAAATTATTAAACGTAATAATAAATGAAATTTTATAAAAATTCAGTCTTCAACATCTGCGTTGAATTTGCGCTCGTTTTAAGTCAATTTTGATTTTTTTTTATTTAAAGTCGGTAAAAAAATGATATATTAGATTTATTAAGTTATCTTTGGTTTTAAATTAATTGCTTGAATCAAACACATATAAAAATAAATTATTAAACGTAATAATAAATGAATTTTTATCAAACATTTGCGTTTAATTTGCGTTGAATTTGAGTTCGTTTTGAGTCGATTTTGATTTTTTATTAAAATCGGTAAAAAATTAACCTCTTTAATTTATTTTTATAAAAATTAAATGTAATTGATTTTTACATTAATTTCTTAGTTGTAAATAACCATTTAGAAGAAAATATATAATAATTTGTTTATTTTTTGTTTTTCAGATATGCTTTGGGAGTTCAACGCATGAGAGCTGGCTTCGCAATTTAAATAATTTATTTTTTGTTTACTATTATAGTAATATATGTAGGAGGTATATGGGTCAAAATCACCAAGGTGGAAAATTAGCTGTGCCAGCAAATAAATGACTAAATTCAGTTTTTCTTTAACAAATCAAGTTTTATAAATACTTAAGTGTGTTTACGTAAACTATACCTAATATAATATAGTTCAAAAGTAAACCATATTCATTATTATTTATATAAATAAGTACAAAAAATCATTTCGAGAACGCGTCCTAAGTAGCAATCTTTAGAAACAAACACCTGAAATAATCATAAAATAAAATAAATTTAACAGTTTTTCTTACTTATTCAATTCAATTTTATCTAATATCGCGTAATTACAAGCATTATTAAAGAAAAAAAAAGAAATGAAAGAAAATTAAGTCAAAATATTATGTCCAACAATGTAAGCATCATTTGAGTGAACGCTGTTTTGATTGTCCAAAAAAATTACTTTTTTGAACGCAGCCGTAATATGTGTATGGCACAGTTGTAGTGAAAGATGAAAACAACGTGGATGTCAAGTGAATTTTTTGCCAAAATAATTAAAAATAAGTGGTAAGTACCATTCGATCCCATAATTAAAGAGCGTACATAAATATATCATCATATCGGGAATGCCTTTATTAACTCGTAATATTGAAAAAATACGTTTTATAGTGTTTATAACAAATATTAACCTTAAATAATATACCTTAAACAAGCCAAACATGGCTGTCAAGATGACTTTCGTCTAAAAAGGGCGCATTTATTTGAAAAAGTCATTTTGGGAACGGTCATTTCGGGAACGCCCCCGGACTTGACGGAGCGTTCTTGAAATGACTGTTACTACTTTTTGTCAATTAATTTAGTGTATGTTGTCCTAAATAGTTTTAAATAAATGTTTTATTTTTTTAGGAAATATGGAATCTCATGAAGTTAAAAAAAAATTAAAAACGTCCAAAAAGACAACTTAAAAAAAATAGTTTAGCTTACATGCAGCAAACAGAAAAAGCTAATGCCAGAAAAAGGAAGTTTTTAGATAAGATAACAGAGGAAGAAAGATACATTAAAAGGAGTAAGGATAGAGCATACTATCAGAAAAAAAAGCTGAAAGAAAGTTAAAAACATTGCTGAGATGACCGAGAGAAAAAAGCGAAAGCAGAGAAAAATTTGGAAAGAAGCATAAAAATACAGAGAAAAGAAGACAGTATTATTAAGTATAGTAAACCATACGATTTATACTATATACTATGTACTATGTACCAGTGGTGAGCACTATTGTAAACTGAACTATCAACTATCAATAGTGCTCATCACTAGTACATAGTTCATACCTTGGGTATTTATACAAATATTAAATCGGGTATATACCGGGTACGTGCCCATCACTGTCTGTATGGCATTTATAGTTACAACAAACGGAAAAAAGAGTTAAAAGAAAATTTAACTGAAGAAGAGGTAGGTAATGATACAAATAAACGTCAGTACGCAAATAAAATCCAGTCGACTCATTTCGCAAAAAATCAATTATCTATTCATACAGGCGTATATTATATACGAACAGGGCCGGCGTGAGGCATGTGCACACGGTGCGGTGCACCCGGCCCCGCGTTTTATAGGCCCCGCGCGCATCAAGGCGTCTCGACAAAATTATTGTACATTTTGGCAACCGGTAAGCGCCGCGCGACAACATATTATGTTGAACATAATATGTGGTCGATGCCAGAGATAATATCTTTTGTAGAAGAGTCAAAAAATCTTTTGACTATGAAGGTACAGATGAAACGTTCAAGGACAAAGAAGAACATTTTCGTGTTGAATTCTTCCTATTAGTCCTTGATAGAGCAATAGAATTCTTTAAGAAAAGATGTAAGATAAATGAGGGAATTAGGAAAAAGTTTGGATTTATGTATGAATTTACAAAAATCAAAGATCTTCCCGATGAAGAATTGCAAAATAACTGCAAAAACCTACATTCTGTTTTATCCGCGGAAAATGCCGATTCCGATATTGATTACTTAGAATTGTTTGAAGAACTAACATCTTTAATTCCAATAATTCCTGAAATCAACCAAAGTTCGCTCTTAAACATACTAAAATACCTTTAAACTACAAAGCTGTTTTTGGCCTATCCAAATATCTGCGTCGCAATTCGAATTTTACTTACCTTGCCCGTCACGGTTGCCTCTGCGAAAAGAAGTTTTTCAAAATTAAAATTAATAAAAAATTATTTTTAATCAATTAAGTATGTGCCAAGAACGACTAGTGGGTTTGGCTATATTGTCAATAGAGAAGGATGTTGGAAGAGAACTGGATATGACTTCAAAAACCTTTGACGCCTTTGCTTCCGCCAAAGCACGGAAAACATATGTGTGATTTTTTCTTAAACGTTAATTTCCATATTAATTAAAGGGGTCAGAGCTGAAACCACCCAAATGCATTTTTAAGCCAAAATTTTCTACTATCCGCTAACATGCTTAAGAAATTTTGACAAAAATGCATCTGGGCGGTTTCAGCTCTAACCCCTTCAATTGGTTTATCGTTTGATGATTTATTAGTTTATTGCCGCTAGGCGCTATGTTAATTTTAAAGAGTAAATTTTTATTTTAAGTTCAAGCCCCGCATTTTTCTTTTGCACCTGGCCTCTAATAAGCTAACGCCGGCCCTGTATACGAAACGTTGACAATGGTTTGCAATCTGGATCTTTTGCTACCCTGAGTGAAAATTTGGATCATAAAGCCCATGTGATATGGGCTCATATGAAACCGATCCTAAAACCATATTGGAAAAAAATATATTAACATCCTTCACATCTACTCGATAATCCAACATCACAATACCGCAACCGAACGAATAAACATCTTTGAAAGAACTGAAAATGTCTGCGTTATCTGGCAGTTTATATCCGAACTCTGAACCAATAAATTTGGGAATACTTTCAAGGGAGTCTCCTGAACCGAACGAGCATATGGATACAACTGATGTACAAGATTTGCTGAAATTAAAGAAACGGGGCATTTATAAAACCATTCATTACTCATCATCGTCCGATGAGGATGATTTAATGTTTGTTTTTTTTATTATATATTTTTGATGTTTAATAATTATGATTACGAAAGCTTGTTTTTGTTTAAAAGTTCAATTTAAATATAGGTACATGTTTAATTGGTTTAATTATAAACATTGAGATAAAAGTTTAATATGATTATTAAGAATTGTACTTGGCTGTGTACATCGATTAAAAGACTGCAAAGAAGTAATTAAAGTTACATTTTTGTTAAGAATAAACCCCATGCCAAATAAATAAATAAGTATGGCATCAAAAAATTTTGCTTATGATTTCATAAACCTAAAGTGTATCTATATCATCATTCAGATAACACACACATCATTCCGTGAACTCCTTATCATTTCCGGGAACATAACAAAAATCACAGATAACACATTATTATTTTAGATATTAAAAATAGGCCTTGGAAATATTAAAACAGACGGACTTCTTATACCTAGAGCTAGTTTATTTATATGTAAGTCAGCGATATTGGCATATTTAGATAATTTAATTCAAAAAAATGGTCCCATAGGTTCATTTGTAGGGATATTTTGTTTTTAAATGATTTTATTTGCAACTTTCTTAGAGTTTTTTAATTTCTTATTATTAACTACATACTTCCGCTATTGTAAAGGGTAAAAAAGAAATACTAAGTTATATTTTAATTTTATTATAAACCTCACAAAAACGTTCCCGGAATGATTGTTTTCAGCGATAGTTCACTTTAAAAATAAAATTACAAGAGAAGCAATTAATTCTATGCTCGGCCAACGTAAATATTGTTTAAACACAAGTTTAGTGATCATTTAAGCTAATTAGCAAAGTAATAGCTGCTAGGTATATTCATCATTAAACATAATTTGAAATTTGCCACCTTGGTGATTTTGACCCATATGTAGTGTATATGTATTATAATAAATTATTTTTATACTTTAAAATAGAGTTTTCATTAAAATCCCAGCTTAAAAAAAACATGGACTGCGTCCCTGTCACGGTTGAGGGTGGTTAACCGTTTTGTAGCAAAGCTTAAGGTAAGTCTATAAAAAAACGTGTTATCAATTAATCAATATAAATCAACCCTAAAATGTTAATATAGTTGATGGCAATAAGTTTAATTTGGGTTAAGAAATAAAAAACTTATCACAATTTAAATTTTACGTTCAATGAATCGAAACTTAACGCAAACTTAAATTAAAGTAGACTCAAAGTTAACGGAAAACTGACCCAAATTAAACGCAAACCTATCTCAAAGTTGACGTAAATTCAACGCAAATTCAACGGAAATTTAACTAAAATTCAACTAAAAATAAACTCAAACTTAACACAAAATTTAACTAAAATTCAACTAAAAATAAACTCAAACTTAACACAAAATCCTAAATCGGCACAAAACTGCAAATAATTACGTGGAATTTGCGTTAAGAAACGAGATTTTAACCCAAAATCAACGTTAATTTTGAGTTAATTATGGGTGATACTTGGGCGCTACTTAACGTTAATTTTGCGTTTAGACTAAACGGTTTAGTGAATTCGCCAGGGAATAACAATTTTTTTAATGCAGAACTAATTAAAAATTTATATCCTGATGCTTCAATGCTTTTTTCCTACGATTTAAATTTGATCGAAAACGGTATGTTTTATAAATAAATTTTGTTAAAAAAAAATGTAGAGGAAACTACTTACTACATTTTTTCAAGAAAATAAAATCCAACAAACCAAAAATATTGAGATTGAAAAGTTGGGCTTAAGCTTTTCTTCCAAAAAGATTAATGCAGATTGATAAAGTTTTACACCTAAAATTAATAATAAATAAGTTTGAATTACCATTACACAGTAATTCGAAATAACGTAAAAGTGTTAACAATTAACAAAACAAAACACGCATAAAATAAAATTGATTGACACACACGAATACACTGTTGACTGGCAACTCGTGCAGTTTTTTTGTTTTCTTGAAAAAATGCCGCGTGATTTTTGTTTTGCGGTTGGTCAAGTTGTTATGTTAGAAAGCGGGAAGTTTCAAAGAAGAGAAAAATGTAATGCGCAAAACTTGGTTAAGGTTTGTTGGTGATGTCTCTCCTTTTTCGGGTAATTTCTTGTAAGTTCCCCTTGTAAACGTTGATGACCTTAAAAAAATCTATATGTAAAATACAATAAACTTTAATTAAAAGGGTAAAGTATATTTTAGAATGATACAAAAATTATTTATATTCCCGTTTCATCTTACCTTTCTTTGGTGCTAGAAAGTTACTTCTTGTTTTGAATGTAAAGGGCCTAAGAACTTCTTCAAAAGATTACACTTTTTCTGAAAAATAGGTAAAACCTTAAATGAATACCTTTTAGTGGGGATATAAAAATATACAATTTAAAATAGGCATAATTAAACTTTTCTGTACGTACCCATTTCATGTAGAAAATTTTCTATTGTTAAGTATTGTGATTTAATTTCTGATTTTACTTTATTTTTATTAAAAAATTACTCAAAAAAGTTATAAAAAACGATCATTTTTTATTATGTATTAAAGTTTTAAAAAATGAAATTGTTTTTATGTTTCGCAATTTGGGTTAAGATTGCTTTGATATTTTCTTGGTTTATTATTTAAAAAACCGGCAACGCGTCGCAGAATCCCTGATAGCACACTTTATTCTAAGAATGTTTTTTTACTTGCCTATAGGCAGGTTCTTAAAAGGTGTAAGGAGTTTTAGTGGTAAAAATTAGTCTACTCTAAACATATGCTTAGAATGTTAAGAAAGTAATTGCTATAGAAAGTTCATTTAGGAATATTCCTGTTAAGCATATTTAGTTCAGTTACCTATAGGTATACAGGGTGTTTCATAATATATGCGCAGGACTTCAGGATGTGATAGCTCATCCAAAAAAATGAAAAAAGTCGCTATTAACTTACGCTCTAAAATGCACAATTTTCGAGTACAGGGTGTTGAAATTTTAGAAAAAAATTCGTTTTTTTCGAATATCTCCGGAACCGTTTATCGTACAAAAAACAGCTTTTGTAAGCATTTTCTACTCAAAATAAGCTATGTTTTGTGCCAGAAAAAAAATTTTTCCTCATAATTGGTATAGATTTTGAAGGGGTGTTTTTCTCCTCAACTTCTACGCCCCTGAAAAAAGTACGGTTTTGAGAGGCCCATTCGAACCGCCAATGTTTTCTACACAAAAAAGGTACTCTTGGCCATAAGCTCTAAAGTTGACCGTTTTTGAGAAAAATTAACTTTTATGTTTAAAAACTAGGTCAATTTAAAAAAAAATATTTTTTTTTACTAATTAAACAAAATTTATTTTAACGTTAGAACAAGTAACAAAACCAAACCATAATTGCAAAATAAAAAATAATTCAAAAGTTGTCTTTGCTAAATTCTCCAAACCGTTAAGGTAACGCATTTTGCACATTTCAGCATTTGTGTAAAAAATCATTTTTTATTTTTTTTTAATTTTGCAATTATCGTTTGGTTTTGTTACTTTTTCTAACGTTAAAATAAATTTTGTTTAATTAGTTATAAAAAAAAATTTCAAAAAAATTACCATGTTTTTAAACATAAAAGTTGATTTTTCTCGAAAACGGTCAACTTTAGTGCTTATGACCAAGAGTACCTTTTTTGTGTAGAAAACATTGGCGGTTCAAATGGGCCTCTCAAAACCGTACTTTTTTCGTTGAAGTTGAGGAGAAAAACACCCGCTACCCCTTCAAAATCTCCACCAATTATGAGTAAAAAAAAAATTTTTCTGGCACAAAACATAGCTTATTATGAGTAGAAAATGCTTACAAAAGCTGTTTTTTGTACGATAAACGGTTCCAGAGATAATTGAAAAAAACAATCTTTTTTCTAAAATTTCAACACCCTGTATCTCGAAAATTGTGCATTTTAGAGGGTAAGTTAATAGCGACTTTTTTCATCTTTTTGGATGAGCTATCACATCCTGAAGTCCTGCGCATATATTATGAAACACCCTGTATATAAATAATAGTAAAATATACCATAAACTACGTATAAAGGTATACCTAAATATTAAGGGTCATTCCATGTGACGGGTGGGACACTTGTACTAATTTGTATATGTTTATTCAATTTATATTTTATTATAGTAAGCTTTTTTATCCATGGAACCCTGTTATTTTTAAACACCCATACAACATCTAAATAAACAACACAAGTTTCTTTTCATGCTATTTAGTTTTATAGACTTTTTTAGTTTTATAAAGTAATTTTTTATTGTGACGGGTGGGACAAGCAAAAAACGATATTTTTATGACTTATTGTTTGGAAGCAAATTTCTGCTAAATTATACAAATAATATGTTTAAATTTTTTTACGTTAAATAAGTCTATGTACTTTATAATGCGTTATTTTTTTTTTTTAAACGTGTTGATAAAGTCAATAAAAAATATAATGCGATATTAAAAATGTGACGGGTGGGACATTATTATGTGACGGGTGGGACAAGTTGAAAATAATAAGGTTAGAAAATATATTACTACTTTATTTAATTTAAATTTATAAGAAAAAACATTATTAAACCCTATAATATGCACTGAAGATTTTGTTTTAAATATGCTGTTACACTATGCATAATCTTCATTTACAACATTTTTTTAGAAAACTTCTACATGTAGAAGTTTTCTAAAAAAATGTTGTAAATGAAGATTATGTATGGGTTTTATATTTCTCCATTTGTCTGATAAATTTGCGCCAACCTCTTTTATTTGTGTAAAAAACAATTAAAAATCTATTTTTCTCCAATCACCCGACTGTAGAAAAAACGTAATTACATGAAATTGTACTGATAAACAATTGAAAATCATCATTTATAAAAAGTTTGGTACGAAAATCCTGAAAATTTCATAAAATGTAAACGCTTTATATCTCAACAAATATCAATCTTAGCGATTCAACTGATAAGACCTTTTTTAAAGAAAACTAAATTTTCTACAAGTTTGTGCTTTACATTTTTTCAAAGAATCCAGTCACTTTTGAAATATCTTCAAAAATATGAGAATTTTTCACTAAAATAAAATTTAGTGTCCCGTACCATCCTACAGGTACAGCTATGGCACATAAAGCATTTTTGTAGAACTTTTGATTACGAGTAGCATAAAATCCCTTTTTGAAATAATCCAATGGCATAGCTGAGATATAGATATTTAAAAAAAATAATCAAAGTTTACGTGTATTTTAAATGGGAAATCTGTATACACTTTGGTAGAGTACTTTGAGTTAATATTAAGGGCTCAAATTTTCCGGGAATTTTTTTTGAACATTTTAAGAAGATTTTGAATTGCGAGCGAAAAAATTATATATTATATATATACATCTTATTTAAATTCAAAAAACCTTATATCTTGGTATTTTATTTAATTAATTATTTAAAGAAAGTATAAAAACGGCATTTTTTTAATATTATAGTTTAATTATTTATTAAATTTAGATGCAGAAAAACTGGATTTCACCTACTGCACCTGCATTAACAATAACTGTTAACTGATTTTGAAATAGATTAACTTAAAAAGTTACAAAACACGCCATAGTGTGACGGGTGGGACAAATTATAATAATTTATAAAAAATTTAAATTTTAATTAATAGACTTGAAATTACCCCCAAATATTTGATATTATTGACTTTATTTGGTATTAAAATCTGCTTTCAAAAAATTATTATTTCTATTAAAATCAAAACTATTTTGTTTTTTTGTGACGGGTGGGACAAATAGGCATGCCAATTAAAACAATTAATTTAACAAATAATAACTTACCTTCTTTTGATAAACGTTAAACAAGCTTAACAATAAACACTTATTTGAATAAATTTTAAGTTAGACAGTTCTTAAAAAGAGCCAGATCATTAATACAAAGCCAAATTATTTACTTATATTTTACATCAAAAATAAATAAACGAGTTAAATAAGTTCAAGTTAATAAATAAATACTACATTTTAATTTTAATACCTATTTAGTTTGTATTGTTTTTGATTATTTTAAGCCTTTAAAATTTAAAGTTTAATATTTATATATTAAATATTAAATGTTTAATTTTTACAAAAAAGTTCAAATTTTCGTGGAATGTCCCTTAAGTAAAAAACAATCCAAAATATTTTTTCATAGTTATTTGTCAAATTAAAACAATATTCGATAACAAAAATACTTTTACTATAGGTTATGTTATGTTAAAAATAAATATTTATTAATTTGTATACCGATTTATTATTTCTGAATTAACATTTATATGTATAATAATCCTAACTATCTTCAACTTTAATCTAATCTGACTTATCCCACAAAATTTTCCAATTTTACTTTTTATGAAATAATGTCATACAACTTATGGTTTAGAGGTCAAATTGTTTATATAATATTTTTAAATAAATTTATATTAATATGTCGCAAATTTTTTTAAGGGGATGACAAATACATTTCACTGTCATATTATGACAGTGAGGCATATTTGTCGTCTTCTGAAGAATTTTACGAATGTAGAATACAACATATTAGAACATGGGTATCTGACATACAGTTGTATTCATTAAAAAAGCGTACAAGAATTAGAATGAGAGAAAACTGTCAACATTATTGCGTAAAACCGGCTTTCCACTGACTTAAGTCACTATAACTGACAGTAGAAAATAAAAATGCCTCGTCAGTTAAAAAGGCTCAAATAGTATCAAGAATCGAAGAAGAATGGTCAATTCGTACTGTGGTATAATAGAAATTAAGCAACGCTGGGAACAGGAAGATTTACTAAACCAAAAAGTTGGTTCAGGTCGTCCCAAAATGTCCACCCCTGAACAGGATGCTGCTTTTTTGAGATATTTGAGGATTTATGGGAAACTATACAACTATACTATACCTACTATACTGCTGGGAAGATATTAATCCAAATATTGTATTAAATTTAATTCAGTTCATCCCAAATAGATTGGCTCAAGTAATAGAAAAACAGGGATGCATGACTAAATATTAAATTCTTTTTAATGTTTGTTTTTTTCATTATTAAAAGGTAATAATTTTTGTAATATTATTTAATTAACCTACGACGTCAATGCTCTTTATAACCTATAATAATTATTTTAATGACTTATATCAGTGATAAGCCGGTTTTAAGCAATAATATTATTTTGACAGTTTTCTCTCATTCTAATTCTTGTACGCTTTTTTATTGAATACAACTGTACATATTTGGAAATATTCTCAAAAGCTTCCTAGAAACTCCATAAGAAACCTTCCAAAAACGTATTCTTAAAATGTTCTTAGGATGCTTTTTAGGAAGGTTTTAAGACGCTTTTAAGAATCTAATTGCATCATTAAAAGGGTATCTATTGAATGTTTTAAAAGTCCCTAAGAATATTCTTAGCAATAAGGGAAGGTTCTAAGAATATTCCATTATTCCGGGTCATATCTTCTTAGCAGATTCTTAAAATCAAATTTTGCTATCAGGGGTAATACCTCCCGGGTGCACCTCAGGTAATGACGTGGAAATTTATTCGTATTTAGACAAAATTAATCTCCGAACGATATTTAAAAATTTGAAAAATATTTGCGCTTCTCAAGTAATTTTAAAAAAACTGAAAACCTGTCAAAACCAAAAATCGTGAGTCCTGGAAATGCAATCGTTTAAAATAGAACTAGGATTAAAATAAAAACATTTTATTTAAAAATATCTTTTTATTGTCAGATAAACCAGAAAAATATAGAATTTATTCCATGCTCAAATTATTAGTAATGATGCAATTTTTTTAATATTGTCCGGGTTATATCTCAAAAAATATTAACCTTGATTAAAAAAAATATTTTAGAGTCTAAAATATAAAAGCAAAAATGAACAACTAAAAAAATAACGAATCTTACAAAATTAAAAAATAAAAACTTTTCTCTTGAAAAAACTTATTAATCAATATCACCTTGATTAATATTAAGGGAAATTACGTTAATTTTTGGTAAAACTTTTTGATGCTCTGGCTCAAAAATAACTATTTGGAATATACATAAGTAGACTAGAATGGTTATCATTTAATTAATACTAATAAGGATATGTTTAAAAAATACTTTGTGATGATCTTCTACTCCATGTAAATGGCTAGCAAAATATAATATTTTACGTTTCATTTAAAACTTTTTTTTGAATTATTTTTTTTATAAAATAAATGAAACATTATTATAAGCAATACTATTATAATCGGTATAATACCGATAGCAACTTTTTTACATTCACACATTGTGCGTATTTTTTTACAATATAGGTTTGTTTCAAAAGCGTTTTTAGCAACATATTCGAATTTATATCTAATATACTTTGTACATTATACATTTATACAATGGAAATATGTGTACAATATTGTACATCAAGGGGTGTAAGGGGGCGGTGCGATGGAATAATGTAGCGGGGGAATGTGGTAGGGGGGAGGGGGAGTGGGGCTGTTGAAAGTGTCCAAATCGTTATCGGACGTTTCTAAAATGCACGCGTCGTCGTCCCTTTGGTATCCTGAGGGATTGTGCGACAAAATTAAGTTGTATATTATTCCAATCGATGAATTTATGCCTACAAATTTTATAATTAGTTTTTGATTTCCAATATTTTTTATTACGTTTTTTAGGTTAAGAAACTATACCACTGATGAAAGGTCAAAAGGTTAGATTGTTACCTTCTATATCAAAGAGAAATTATAATATTACCCCTTAAAATTAAAATGCAGAATGACGCGACTATTATTTTCATGGAAGCGATTTCGAGATATGAATTTTCAATTATTTTTTTTTTAAATTTTCTGAGGTGTTTTGACGTTTTAGAGTATACTTCAAGTTCTAATTGATCGATTTGACCAAACAAGCACTTAAATCAAAGGTAATTGAGCCATCTACAACTTTCTCTTGTATAGTTTTGGCTCAGTAGTTCGATACTGGCGATTTTATGAAGTTGAAAAAGTCTTTTTTTTTTACAAAAATCGGGGTCAAAAATTTACATATCTTTCTGGGAAAGATAGAAATCGAAAAGATCAGTCCAGTTTGATTTATTTTACGTATAGATTATACTTAAAGGAAAAAAATAAGCTGCTGTTTATAAAAATCCATGGATAAATTGCAAAGTTATGAATTTTTCAGTCAAAGACCAAAATTCAGTTTTTTCGAGAATTTTTACGTTTTTTTCATTTTATTGAGTTATATAAAGTTTAATATTGAACATTGATTTTTATTTTAAACATTAAATATTGAAATTAAATTATATATTGAATATTGAACAATAAATATTGAAATTTTATATAATGTTTTCAGTGAAAAAAGTACGTAAAAAACTTTAAAAATTCCAATCATGCACTTTATATAGGTTTTTATTAAAAAATAAACATATTACGAAATAAAAGAAAAAAAATAAAATAAAAATTGTCAAAAAGCTGAATTTTGGTCTTCCACTAAAAAATTCATAACTTTGCCATTTTTTCATGTATTTTCATCAATATTAGCTTGTTTTTTTTTTGGAAAAATGTCAGCTTCACGAAAAAAATCCAAACTGGAGTTATCTGTTTGATTTAAACCTTTCCCAGGACGATATGTAAATTTTCGACCTTAATTTTTGCCATAAAAAGGAATTTTTAAAAATCGCTAGCCTCAAAATACTTATCCGATATCAGAAGTATGTAAAATAAAGTTTTAGAGAGCTCAAATACCTTCGCTTGTTCGACCAAATCTATCAATTAGATTTCAAGCTATACTCAAAAACGTCAAAACACCTCCGAAAATTAAAAAATAAATAATTGAAAATTCATATTTCAAAAACGCTTCCATAAAAAAAATGTTTTTATTTTCCTGTTTAGTGGGGCAAAATACATGGAAAAATTATAATGGGATATGGTGGGCAGAATTTTTTTTAGATTTTGTAAACTAGTGTTATCAATGGTTTGGTTTTCAGACAAAAAACCTGTAATTAATGATCTCAAAGAATCATCAAAATCATACAATTAAAAAAAGTGTTATTTTAATGGTAAATATTTAAACTCTTTGAGCAACCTCTTAGAATTGAAATTAAGGTTTGGGATTTTTACTGAATTTTAATATTGGCATAATTAAAAAAAACATTGTTAACGTTTATTCTATTAACATAATATTAATAATTTAGTCTTACCTGCACTAGCTAGTAAATAAAATCCTAATCCATATGTAACATTAAAGTAGGATTTGGAGTAATGACTGGCCAAGGAATCTTCCATTAACAATATGGTATAGTAAGATAAACTTATTATTGCCATTATCCAAAATACTAAAAAAAAATTAAATGTTTTTTAACATTCTTAATTTCTTTTTATTATTATTTTAACATTCTCAATGATGTCAAAAATCAGTGTAAAACCAGTTATATTACCTGCACATGTTCCAGGAACAGCATAACGTCTTGATAACCTATACACTAAATTTTTGGATCCGATTATATCAATAACATATCCAAATAAGGCAAACAGTATGGCCATGAAACACAGCAAAATGGTAATCCTCATTAAATTAACTGTTTCTGGGGTGACACATTTGTACTCTAAAATAATTAAATGTAACTTTAACCAATACAACATAATATTTAGATATACAAACCATCACTAAAAGCTGGCGAATTATTATAACCAAACCAGAAGAATTGTCCCAATGTAAGATAAGGTACACAAACATTTCCTGATATTACGAACCAATTAAGATCAACCATGGACATTGAAATAAGTGTAATTGTGACCAAATGAAATGTTGCTGATATAAAGTTGACGTCTTCATTTTTAGGAGTCAAAATTTGGCGAAAATTATGCCAGCAAGTCATTTTTCTTGAAATTTATTTATTCAATTAATTTACTATACCTATCACACTTTTATACATTATCGTCTAAACCATTAAAAAGAGGAAAATATGTAACATAAACTTGAATTAAATAAATGTTTTTCCCCAAACTGTGTCAAGGTTGACACACAGAATGACAGTTCTGATTCCGAACTTCTGAATCACACAAAATGTTTCCTGTTTTATCGACTCACTCTTCTGGAACGTTTGAACTACTACCAGAACTACGAAAAGATATCCGACAACATTGAAATTTAAGATTCCCTTTCTTTCTCCGTTCCTTCCGTAAAAGATGAACAATACGAAAATCGTAGTGACGTTTAGAGATTCCCGTACGGGAATTTATAAACAGCACAACGGATTTTGTATTGTTCATCTTTTACGGGAGAAAGGCAATCTATAATTCAGGTTTTAGCATGTTTGAGCATGCTGTTTGAGACCGAAAATTATAATATCGCATCGACAATGCACGAGATTGAGTTTTGTGTGGCAATGTCGCACTCGTTTCTACTGAGCTCCTTCTATCGCAGAACAAACCGTTCATTAAATATTTATCCTAAAGATCTTTGAATTATTTATTATTTATTAGGGTCCCTAATTTAGGGATAGCAATAAGACAAAATACAGGATACAAGGGAGCACGCAAAAAACGTACTAATTTTTGTTTTTTGTATTCGGAATTTGACACATTTGATTATGTTGGTACTGTATATAAATATCTTCTAAGATAAATATACTTTATCTACTCCTACATTGACGAGCTGTGACTTTATGGCGTTTTAGTCACGGGCTGAAGTTAGTAATAGTGGCTTTTGGGCATTTTAGTCACGGGCTGAAGTTGGCTTTACTATAAATTAGAGAAAAGTTAGGTTAATTCCGCTGACATTTGACAGATGTCAAATGTTTAACAAATAAAATTGGATTTAAATTCTTCTTTGTGGTCGTCGTAGATAAAGTATAGTATGCAACTCGTTTTATAAACTTATCTAGACACTCGTTTTTATTAAACACTCGCTTGCAAGCTTCGCTCGTGCTTAATAAAACTCGTAACTAAAATGGCGTTTATAAAACTTGATACATAATATACTATTATCTACTCCTACATTGACGAGCTGTCACTTTATGGCGTTTTATTGACGGGCTGAAGTTAACAACAGTGGCTTTTCGACATTTTACGTCACGGGCTGAAGTTAGCTTTATTATAAATTGGGAAAAAGTGAGGTTAAATTCGGGTGACAGTTGACAGATGTCAAAATTTTAACAAATAAAATTGGCTTTAAATTCTGTTTTGTGTTCGTCGTAGATAAAGTATAGTATGCAACTCGTTTATAAACTTCTTTAGACACTCGTTTTTATTAATCACTCGCTCGCAAGCTTCGCTCGTGCTTAATTAAACTCGTAACTAAAATGACGTTTATAAAACTTGATACCTACAATGTCATAATATACTATAAATATACACTGCGCGTCAAAATTAACGCATAATTTAAAAAATTCTTACTCCAAAACGCCTTTACCAATCTTTTATTTCATAATAAAAAACGCTCGAAAAAAACTTTTATAGGGATTTTTTTAAGTAGGTAAATAAGAAATATGCCGTGATATACCGTATTTTTACCGACTTTGAAGCACTGTATCTTCGTTACTGTTCGTTTGATTTGTACAAAATTTTCAGGTTATACCTAGTAGGTTCATTCCAACCAGCAGTAATATTACCGTAAAGCTTCGTACAGACCTGAACATTGAGCCGAACAACGAACCGAACGGCAAACAGAACGGCAAATGGCCTTTTTTGATTTCGACGATCCGAACAACAAACGGAACGTTCGTGCTGTTTTCATAATTGCTCGTAGTAAATCTCAGTTAAAGTTTTACTAAAGATGAAAGAAAGTGTAGCAGCAGCAGCTTATATATATATTCATTATTCATTATTAAATCATTAGTATTTAAATTTTGCGCAATCTCCTTCCAAGCATCTTGTTTTTTAATTTTATTAAAATGGTGTGGGTGTTTTGGTTTCCACAACAACTCTTTTTTTTTGATAAATATCAATTAGATCCAGAGATTTTTCTTCTGTCCACTCCATTTACTTGTGTTGAACTTTAATTCTATTAAAATAAACAAACTCACTTAAAGGAGGAGACAAATAAACACTGAGAACAATTCACTGGTCTGTTCGCCGTTTTGTTTTGACCCGTCCAAACCTCCGAACGCATTCGCGAGCATTTCCTTTGATGTCGAAGGAAAAACCGACAAGTGATGGGAACGGGGCGAACCGTTCGCCGAACGGTCAGGATTCGCGAACATGTTCGCAAACGCGTTCGCAGCCCCGTCCAAATTAGTGTTCTGTTCGCCGTTCGGTTCGACTAACTTCTAGCCGGTGTCCCAACATCGATCCCGACTGGACAAAGAATTTATTATATATTATACAATGCATCATTATCATTTAAAATTGACGGCACAACAATAATATAATAATAAATTGTACCTGTATACATGTTAAGGGCACGTTAGTTACGTAATAAAACCAAACCAACCCAAACTCAACAACACAACCCAACCGATCCCGCCCTATTGGACCCCCGCGCCCCATTGAGCAAAAAACCCAACTAAAATGGGCAAATTTATGTTACGATAAAAATAAAACACTTTTTAACAAAGGAACAACAAATTTATGAAATAAAAAAGTAAAAAAAATTCGACAACTTCTGAGTATCGAACCCGGGACCTCTCGCATGCAAAGCAAACGCCCTACCATCTAAGCTATCTATAGATAGCTATAGCTTGACAACAAATTTTGTATGTTCGGGGAACAAAACCGGATTATTATTATGACGTCACGTTATAAGGCGGTTCGTGCCAGCTCGTGAGAAGTCGGGATCGATGTTGGGTCACCGACTAGAAGTTTCTTTCGGTTCGTTGTTCGGCTTGTTGTTCGGCTCAATGCTCAAGTCTGTACGAGGCTTAATATTATCGTCCGTAACAGCGTTAATGCGACTGCGCGAACAAAAATAGTAAAATTATTTTGAATAATGTATAAACTGGTTGGAACCTTTTTTGAACTAGTAGTACTCACAATCAGAAGAAAAAGAATATAACCTAAAACCCACAATTGTATTGTGCTAAAAGCTAAGTAAAGCGCATATAGGTAAGGTAAATGTACCAATGCCTGACACTATAAGAGAATGATCACTTTATTAATTAAGTTATTACAAGCCTATAGAAAAAGGGGGCGTCATTTATGTTTGTGTTTGACGCATATATGTTCTATTAAAGGGAAAATATTTTTATTTTGTTTATAATATAAATAAAAAAATATTTTAACATATTCTTTGGCCATTTGCAAATGTACCAGTAGCTGATATAAGAAAATAGTAATTTTTCCAATAGCTGACAAGTAAAGACCCTATAGCTGACATCTGAAAAATATGGAAATAAGTTCTTCGTGCCGTTTAATAAAAGATTAAAATTGTATTTTATTAAAAATAATTTATTATTAAAAATTTACACTAAATAAAAAAAAATAATTTATTATTAAAAATTTACACTAAGTAAAAAAATTAGCTTGTGAAGTCTAAAAAGTCTTTCATCTTCTCCCTATTGTTTATTTTTTTTGGCTGATAAATTTTTCTAATTATGTCCATGCTCTCATACCATAAAGTATCTGGTAGGCTTGGCCATCTCCAGTAATTTAAGCCACTTTTTTCCATGACGGTTACAAACAATTTTTTGGGACCCACCTCTAACACTTGTCCAGGATAGTACTGATTTTCATAAACTATCACATAGCATTCTTTTTCATAGTTTTCAAATTTTAATATGCTTGTAGTATAAGGTAGTACGAGGAACTTCATATTGCTTGCAGGCCATTGATAGATTCATGCCATTTTTTACCGCCTGAAGAGCCATTTTCATCGATTCTTCTGAATTCGCCTGAAGAGCCATTTTCATCGATTCTTCTGAATATGTATTTTTTTGTCCATTTTTTTCTAAAATAAACAAATAAATAAAATATATAATTTTTATTTTTTAAAACAAATGATTCCAAAACTTTTAAAACCAATATTGTCAGCTACTGGAGCATTATAATACTGAAGTATTGAACCAGTGCCTGATAACTTGTCAGCTTTTAGAAAAATTAATTTTGAGGGTCCCAGTACCTGACATTATTAAATATATCCTTAAAATATCGAAAATATCGACAAAAACATAATAATTATGTTAAAAATATAGTAATACTTAAGTTAAAAATAAATATTTACCTTTCATATAAACTTGGACGGTAATTTGCGCTTTTAAAGATCACCACTTTCTTAACGAAACACCTAACAATTGAGAAACCGTTGATACTACCCCAAATGGCGCCGTTTAAAAGAACTGTCAAAAATACAGTTTCCTTTTTTATAAAATAATGTAAATATTAAAATACTTAAAATTAATTAAAGATGGCTCTACAGTATCGACATTAGATCTCAACCTACCGGTTTTCTTATTTTTTGGGAATTATGAGTAAGATTGTCAGCTTTTGGGGCAGTGTCAGGCATTGGTACATTTACCTTATATCTATTTCAATAAAGTAATAAATATGGCAGGTTTTTTAAATAATTACTTGTATGATTCTTCGGATGACGAGGATTTAGATTTTATTGGGGACATTGCTACTAGAAATAAATATAACCCAGGTTTGTTGAGTTTATAAATATATATAAAAGTAAATTTTAATAACATCGCACATTGATAATAAATTCTTCCATTCCTGCTCACAAATGATAAAAATTAGATGTATTAACATTAAAAATTAATAAAATAACCTTGTATAGCAGTCATTTTTAAATAATATGTCCACTTTAACAGAAAACAAACTTACAATATTACAAACGTTAATAAATAAACAAAAAGATGAGGTTATGTGCCCCTTCTACGCATGCGTCTAATTTTATTATCAACAGTTCTTGCTCTCGAGCAAGAATCGTTTGAACCGT